TTTTACCTTTTCGCTTAGCCCTAAATAGGGAATGATCTCATTCCGTGTTGTAACGATTTTATCTGATAATGTTTATTGCCCCAGCGAATGCCGCAGTATAAACTGAGGATTAAGCGAAAAATTTAAGATACGTTTTTAAATCAATTAACTTAACGTCAAGGCACTTTATTTTAAATCTATTTCTGTGAATATTCCCTTTGATATCATAAAGGGTTATCGCGCAAGCGCCAAGCACTCACTATTAAGCTAACGATTTCCAAAAACGATTTAACTTTCGGCTCCGTTTATTTCATAAATTAGCAAAGTGCAATTAATTTTAACAAGGGAACGCTACAACTTTTAAACGAATCAGGATATAGGCAAAAAATTACACATTTTGCTTATACAGTGTGTTACACAATAAGATGCTGATAGTGGTGTGATTCCTTCGATGATTTTAAGAAAAAAAGTTTATATCGATGTAGGTCCGCAATCGATACAAAAAAAACGCAATGAGAATAACATATAATCTAGAATTTTTTTTTTTAATTTTGTTCACGTTGTTTGATGTTAGTTTTTCATATGAATATTACGAATATTTATTTCACTTTTAATTTAATTCTATGAATTTCGTGTCTGTTTTAAAAATGCAAATCATTTTTCAATAAAGTAGTGGCATACCCCGCCTCTACTGGTGAAAGTAGTAAAAATAATTTTCACTCAAACAAAAAAAAAATTTCTATGCATCGCAAGGTCCTATCAAATTTCAACAAAATATGTAAGACAGTATCAATAAAAATAAAAATTCCTTTGTATTTCGACTCCCTCTTGTTTTAAAATTTGATAATGCTTTGAAATAATAGAAATCTGAGCCCAAATTTTTTCCGTGTTTTTTCTTGGATGTTGTGTGTTTAATTCTACAGTTTGACCACTTAAATAGCTCCAACTTGCCTTTTAAATTAACAAATTATTTTATTTAATTATGCCAAAACGCTTTTTTATAACACCAAATTTTGCTAAACTCAGTGACGTAGTGATATCTTCGTTTAACCTTAAAATGGTGATGTAAAAGAATTTTATAACCTTTTTAATTCGAACTCGGCATATTTTAAAGTTTCGGAAATATAAACAAAAATTCCTAATATAAGCTACAATAAGTCGGTATTAACTGCATAGGGAAGGCTTCCATTACATCTAATAGATCAGTGGGTCCACCGTCCTGCTACGATACACGCCCTGTTTCTTAATTGTCCTTGTCCATATGGGGGAGGGGGATAATGCGATTGTACTATTTTTAAAAATTACACAAAAAATCAACTACGACACGCCGTAAAAACGATATTTATTAATCCAGTATGACACGCCGGTTATATATCCGAGGGATTATAAAAATAAATGGAATTGGCCCCGTTGTTGTGGTACCGCGTGCAAAGCGTCCAGGGTTGCCGTTTCGGCGTTTTTATGCTGTTTACGCGAAAATAACTTAAACTCTATACCGAGAAAAATATTTTCTGCGTTACGCGGAAAATCTAAATAGACATAAACTCGGGCGATTGCATCGCATTGCAAAATAGTATAACGTCGTGCGTTGTGGGCGGACATGTTGCCAAATTTGCTCGCGAACCTTTAATTTACAGAGAATTTTTTAATTTGAACGGTTCACAATTCGCAAAATCCAAAAACTTTTATAAGTCCCTGCAAATTAGAATCCTATGGAAAACCTTTTTAATATTAATTTTGCGGAAAAAAACAGATATGTGTATATAGATATAACATAAAATCAGATATCCACTTTTTCCATAATAAAAAAACTACCCATTGAACTGTTAAGAAAATAATAAATAAATTCAAGAATATTGGAAGTGTTAAGAAAAGATATAGACTATAAGAATAAGAAGTAACTTTTTATCTATTTTATTAGAACAAAACTGTTTTGAATTTAGTAATATTTACCTTGGAACTGGGTAACCCAGCGTCTAATAGAACTGTCACGCCACAAACATTGTCAAAATCGTAATTTTCTTATAAACTCTCATGACCAAGACTTCAAGATTAACGTGTGGTGTGCCATTTATAAAAACATATTAATACGACCTTTTTTGGCCAAACCGTGAATGTCGATATTAGTTTGCAGTTTTTAAAAACTCCCGTTTATAACTTCATAGACCCTTATAACAACGACAATGTATTTGGTTAGAGACTATCTTAAACTCTTCCATGCAAACTTCCACAAATATTCTAATTTTTTTTTGGCCCGACGTTTTCCTATGGGGCCACTTGCAACAAAGACTTTGCCATTTAGAATAAATAATTTTAGGCAAATGCCAGAAAACTTCTCCAGAAATAATAATTTTGAATGAGAGGGAAAATTTACGCATATTACTAAAAAAAAGATATCTGATGGCCGCATATACTATACTTATATACTTATTTTTCCTAATATTGATAAAAAAAAGTGTCCCATATCGTTCTTACCTGCTGAGACATATACTATTATGACACATTTAGTCTCCTTGTTTTGAAAAGGATGAAGATATTTGGTTTATATTTGGTTGCTTTCGTTTCTTAGCTAACCTGCAATTCGCAAATTTAAAAAAATAGATGTGAAAAAAGTGACTAGCTTGTCCTTATGGCGACACAGTAACGAAACTTGACTTACCATTTTGTTACCAATGCGTAAACGAATTCGCACAGACGTTTATTTACTTTAAATGAATAATTTAATCGGGAGCTTGTTAGTGGCCAATGATTCTCGACTATACTAAGCCCCATTAATATTACCCGCGGTAATGTCGGTTATAGCGTACGGCGCGTATACCGGATGATCCAAGTGCACAAATTTTATTTTCCTTTATTTTAGCATTCAAATAAAAAAATTCATGGATATTAAAAAAAAATCCAATGTTTCATTTCAAACTTCTCCAGAAAAACATATTTTAGATATATGTACTAGAGAGTTGTAAGGTTGTGGTATATTTACATAAGTATGAATGGAATGGAGTTTAGTTCCCTTTGAACTTCTTACCGTATTAAAGAGTAAAATTGCCAGATTAAAAAAACTGATAATACTTAACTAATTTGACAAAGAGCAATAGAAAAGCCGAGACAATGTTTAAGCAATGCTGACAGTTTTTGAAAATACGTTTTATTCAATTTATTAATTAACCAGAATTTTGACTTAGTCTCATCAATGAAACAGAAAATTAATGGAAAAAATTCCATTATGCAAGTATCACCCTAAACTGGTGGAGCGATTCGAACAAATTCCTCGTGCACACTCTGTACATGAACGCTAAACAATGCTTCCACTCAATTATCGTAACATTATTAATTTGCCCTAATGGTGGAACGAAAGTGTGATCACTGTTATAAATAGTTCTTCCTTAATCGTCTAGCGTTTCTTGCACGATGCACTCTGAAAGAATACTAACTATGTAGTTATGCTTGTTTACAGCGTTGTATGTGGAACATATTTATCTATTTCACTCGGATATGTGATTTGTGATACATATATGACTGCAAGAAATTTTATTTGAATCTGAAAATTTGAAAGTAAAGTTTATTATTGACTTATATTTTAATTAGTCATTAACCGGTATAACGTCGGTTTGAGGTGGTCGAGAGCTTTTTTTGTTTTCCCCATATATTAGAAATATATCGAACTATTCTTCAATCGCAAATTCATGGTTTCCTCGCAACATCCAAATCGGTAAGGCGACAAAATCAATAAAAAAGTAAAATTGTACCGGGTGGCTATCAATTAAGAAGGGGACTCGGCTGTAAGTAAAAGTAGGTAATTGTAAAAACTTATGACTAAAGCGGTCAAAAGAGAGTGCTGGAAATTAATTTTAAATAAATTTAAGTTACATATTGAAATATAGTTTCTTAAAACAAATTATTAATTTTAACCATAGTTTTTTAAACAATGTTGTCCTTGGCATTATTTATAATCCTATTTGGAAGGCGAAACTTTCATCTGCATCTCGTATTGAACATTTTGAAAAAAAATTTCCAGTTAGGTTTTTCCGGTGCGATATCTAGTATCCCATTCGTGATTTTGTCTTTATTTTCATTTTTGGTGGGGGTTAAACCTATAAGTTTATGAAAACAAACGCGGAAAATATCTGGTAATTTTATCTGCCACATATTGTAACTGCAACAAAGGCGTTTATTTACAAATAAAATACCCTATAAATCTTAATATGATTGGCGCTTAAATATCACCATTATAATTTTTGCTATTTTCGTGTGGACAGATGGGCATTTCTTTTTATACACTAACGCGTCAAACTTATATTTGGGTATCTTTTGTTTTGCAACAAAAGTAATATCGTTACATTTAACTTTTTCTTGAAATAACTTTTATTTATAGTGTTGTCGCAAAACGCCGTTTAGTGGCGATTCAAGCAATCTTAATCAACCTGCTCAGGGCCACGTTGACAACCTAAAAAGAGCCATTCTCAGTGATTCCACTCTGGGGTAATTGCGAAAATGTTGGAACACCCCACTTTTCCGAGAGCAAAAATCATTTAGCCCAAAAGAATCGATTTTATCCCAGCTTTACAACGATGTCCATTTTAGTTATCTGTAATATAAAAATATTTCTTAAAAAACGTCATTTAGATTAAACAATGCGGCCCATCCAGGAACTTGAAAATACTTTCCACCATTTTCTTTTGTCCGCTTTAGTCATAATTTTTTTAACCCACCCCCACCCCACCCCCCGACAATTACTTTTCGAGATAGATCTGAGCGTATTTTGAAAAAATACTGGAGTAAAGTCAACTGAGACCCTTCAAATTGACGAATTATTAGCGGCCATGTTGGTCGACGAATGCCGCCAGGTCTTATTGGTCGAAAACGAGATTTCGAATGCGCATGCACATATCAAATATCGCTACAAAAAATCCTTCATTATCGGCACCGTCCGTATATAGATGCGTGTGACCTTATTTTTTGACGGTTTTGAAAAATTTTTGTTTCAAAGTGTTTTACTCGAATATCCTTTTTTTATTTATTAGGCCGAAGATCGCGGTGAGCGGAGAGAAGAACGCGCGATTGATTTGCATAACAGACGACAACTCGGTGGCCGAATTGAGCGAAAAGGACGAAGGTAGATCTGATGGAGCGGTAATAGTTCGCACCAATTCGGAAACACAAACCGATATCGAAACGATCGCGAAAGCGACGCAAAAGGGAACGAAAAGTCACGCCGTCAAAATAAGCAGGCTTAGGAAAATGGGAAGACCACTGCAACCTCTGGAAAAGAGATACGCCATCAATGTTATTCAATATAAGCTGGATTTTTACAAGCATCGCAAGAACGACCTAATGTACAGGAAAAGTACGAACTGCGACCCGAGCGTGTTGCTGGAAACGTACGTCCCCGATGGCAATTTTTTCACTGTGCTCATTTAAATTGGTTCCAGAATATCCGGTGACGTGTTGAATGACGTACTCGTCGATTTAGCTAGGGACTTCAAGGTAATTCTGAATGATTTCGTCGACAAAATTTATTCGGAAGAGCTCGACCAGTAATTTTTTACAAATTAAATCTGGTTTTTTATACGGACATTTATTTTTATATAGCTATAATAACGAACTCAATAAAAGAAATGCTTGTGTTATGATCGTCGTTTTAAGCACTTTTTTTAATTTCAAGAGACCAACGGGTTCCTAGTATTAGAGACATGTGATACGCACACAATTTAACATGTTAGTTGATCCAAACAAAACCAACCAAAACTCTAAGGCCAACTTTTGCAATAAACTAAAAAAATATTTTATATAAAACGTTCACGGAATACCAACTTATATTTAAACGGAAAACCACCAGTGTCTTATTGCAAAGAATGATAGCTATCTAGTGGCTAATTGAACAACTCCTGGTAGCATTGTTGCTTAAAAACCACAGAATGACAAAGGGCGCGGAGGCGGCGCCGTCTAACGGCGGGCGGTGAAACGAAGTTCAATATCGATATTAACGCCAATTTTATTTTCATGGTTACCCCGCCTACTTGAATCCAAGGAACATTTCCTCCCAATTCCGCATTATTTTTGATATTAAAATTTCCGTATTGATTAAATTATTCAAGTATTTCATATAACATAAAGACGTGAATAAAAATAAAATGTTGACTTAGACCAAACAATTATCAGAAAATACAGTGGCCATACTTCCCTAAGCTACCTAAACTTATCGAAAAGGTCAAAACTGATCTCGCAAGGGATTTCCGAGTGGAATCCAGTGGTGTAACAGTTTTGCTCCGAAACTCACAAATCAATACAAGCTTAACTTTTGTTTTTCGTTGAAATTTTACCATCAGGCACTTTCATATAGAGGTCGATCGATAGTTTTTATGCAAATAAAAAACTGGGTATTTTTATGTACTTACATACCATGAATTTCAAAAATTATACTTCCACCTAGAATAGAAATAAGATATTACTTTTTCGTCACATAGAGGAAAATATAAACAACTGTGAAAAATTCTTATGCAGATAAAAAAAACTGGTTTTTACATACACTTATTTTTATTTATACGTAATACAAATAAATTCAAAAGTCAAATACTTACATATCTAATTGCCTCAAGCCAAAAGGATACAAAAGACAATACATCATTAAAATCTTTTCTACACGAATATATAGCTAAATTTAAGGGAATAGCTTATGTAGACGGAAACGTCACTTAACTTTAAAAACCAGGAACCCATATTTCCGGAGGATAACTGATCTTCAAAACGCTATGGCACGCAGCATAGGCTGCCAATCTTTTTGCCGTCTTCTTATTTGGACCTGCAAAAAGCAACAACTATAAAGTTTAACTTTCCTTAAAATTCTAAGAAAACTAAAAAAATCAGGAGCTAACAAAACAAACATGACGATGATGATATAATTGGGAATGCATGTGGTCTAAGATTAATAGCCTCGGGTCCAATGTAAAGAAATGCTGTTATTAGCTTTAGTCGTTCATTGAGTAACCAGTATAGATTGAATCGAGATCGAGGCCCTCACTGGTATTAAAGACTTGGGCGTTTGCATCGATTCTAAACTAAATTTTGTGACACATTGTGCGGAAGTAGTAAACAGGTCAATGCGAGTCCCTTGGGTTTGTTGTAGGCAATAGTGGCCAACTTACTCCACATTGCCTTAAACTCCTTTATACCTCTTTGGTCCTCTCTAGATTGGAGTATGCATCTGTGGTATGGTCTCCATATCATGCCTGCTATATAGATAACATTGAAGCCGTTCAGAAAGTATTTTTAAGATCTTTGGCTTCAAAGGCGCATATTAATATCTACAATGGGTATCAGATCAACTACAGTATTATAGCTAAGGCCTTCAATATTGATACTCTCCAAACCAGAAGATCTCAGAGTGACTTAGTCTTTCTCTTTAAAATCCTGAATGGTTGGTATTATTGTCCAGCTCTTTTACACAGCATACAATTTAACACATATTACAGAAGCTGTGATAACTCAATTTTCCGCATACCTTACCATCGCGCAAATTATGGAGTTTATGTACCTCTTACTAGAATGCTGAAAGCGTGCAACTGTTTAAATCTTGATCCTTTTGTCGGCAGCTTCCGCTCATTTCGTTCTGATGTGCTCCATTTCAGTACTGCCACTTAATTCTGTTTATTGTTATTGTTACATTTTGTTCTGGTTTCTAGTTGTTACACTGCTGTCTTTCTCTCTTTGCCTTTAATGAATGTAAAAGAGTTTTGTAAATTGGTTAAACCGTAAATAAATAAATATATAAAATAAAATAAAAATAAAAAAATTTTAGTTGAAGGTTTAAGCTTATTTTTGAATCGCTCTGTATATTTTGTTGCAGGTCCTGTTGCACACATTAAAGATGCATAATAAAATAAATAAATTTACTTTATTTGTTCAGTAGTATTAATTGTACATATGTATGTCAGACAGGTTTTAATCTATGCGTGTGATAGAATTATGTATATGTACATTTACTTGCATTCCATGACAAATATTTTAAGATACGCCCGACGCTTTTATATTCAATTGTATTATCTAGTAGCGGAAGATAGTTGATGAGATTTCATTTAAGATTACAAATAAATAAATGCTCACCGCTGCCGTTGAACGTCTGCCCGTCAATGGTCACCTGGAACGTGAAAGTCACATTCGGGGGCGTCCCCGCCTTACCGAGCTCCTCGAACTGAGCCTGAGGGCACATCTGATTGAGGAGCATCAGTGGATTGATCTCCTCCGGCTTGTTCGGCAACTTTTTCGCCGGCTTTGTAATAGTGTCGACCCTCTCGCCCGGAGTCACGGCGACCTTCGGACCTCCCAACAACTCCTGAGCCTGCTGTGAATCGTTAAAGTACTACTTAACTTAAGTTCGTTTGGCGGGCATTAAAACTTACGCTTACCCGCGAGGTAAGCACGGGATCTTCGCCCCATGATGAGAAAAGCTTGAAAAGGGCGAAAGACGCGACGTGTTGCCACGGCATGACGGTGCTCCCTTCGTCGGTCTGTATGTCCATTTTCTCGCCTTCCTCTGTAGTGTCATCTTGCCTACCACCACCACCACCACCACCTTCAGTTCCCTCCTCAGATTTTGTAAGTTTGAGCTGCTTGTTTTTGACAAGGTATTTCAGAGCGTTCTCAGCAGCGGCGTTTTTAGCTTGGATCTTGCTACGCCCTAAACCCAAACAGGAAACCTATTTCTTAACCACAGAGCCAAACAAGTCCACCAAGAGTATATTGTCCTTTACTTGTCAGAATCAAAAGGTTTTAAATAAACAAATCAATTTAAAATGAGATAAGTGGTGTGACTTAATACCGTTTATATTTGTGCAAGTAACTCGGCAACAAGTGTAAACTATATTGAATTTATGAGCGAATCTCATTTAAAATTTCCACTTCAAACGAGTATTTTTTTACAATATTATAATATCTATATGACCGTGACATCACAGTTTAAAAAACCTGTGCGCGCCAAAGTCAATATTAATTAAACACATTATCAATTTAAAAAAAAATCAAACTTAATATATAACTAAAATCAGAAAATAAGAAATTTATGAAACTAAAACACTAGTTTCAGTTATTTATAATATAGTTTTTATCTTCTCCAGGAAATATCTTAATCACTTTATTGATTATTCTTATTTATAAGGGAAACAATATAAAATTTTAGTCATGAACAAATAACTGTCTGCTGATGAATAGCTCCATTACTCAACATTTCTGTGAATATTAACTCTAATTTGAAAGTTACAATTAGTGCTTGCCTGGAGGAATGTTCCTGTATGAAAAAAGGTAAAAAATATCTATACTAAAAAACGAAACAGTATAATTTCGTTCTTTTAAACACAATTTTAACCATAGCATTTTGCATTACTCTCAACGGCTCAATTAACGCTATATCAATAAAAGTAATAGTTTTTTTTTTTAGAAAAAGATTGTGCTAACTTATTAAATTAATGCAATAAATATTTGTTTTTTTTTTTTGTTAAATATACAACATATAAATCCTATTTGATATTTTTTATCAACCATCGCTCCCAAGGATTTTATAACATTAGTTTTCCCTATTAAAGCATCAATATGTATTTTTGAAAAAAAAAAAGTCGTTTTTTTTTTAAATTACAACAAATGCAGTTGTCTTACTTATATTGAAGGATAATTTTAAAGTATCCAAAAACATCTGGCAACAACAATGGCCCGAAATAAATTTGGAAAAATGGAACTATTCTCGAAACCAACATTTTATTATTTAAACTCTACCTTATTCCCTACATCACCTGATCAAAAAAAACCTTTCAGCAAGAAAGTATCATTAGCCGTTATCAAGCAAAAACCAGTTCTGATAACGGCTAGAGATACTTTCTAGCCGAAACGTCGTGTTAAAAACGTTTTTAGTCAATAGAAGTTCAAAACGCCAGTATTGACCAGAATCAACCATTGTATAGCTTTAGAGAAACAATGACGTCATACTGTTTATATTTATGCAGAAAATCTTTCTAGAACCAGAGTTAAGTCACAAACCATAGTATTAAGCTGTAATTATTAAGTCCATTTTAAGGGCTCATCAATATAAACCCCAAATGAAGGAAATATGCAATTATAAAACATCTTAACCTAGTTAGCATCGTTAAATAAGTGATTTTTAAAAACATTGGGAAAGATAAAATTAATAATGTACGTCCCGAAAACTAAGATCAAATCCTGTAAACCGGACAAGATCTACTCTCAGGGACGCAAGGAAAGGCAAACCATCCACCGACTCGTCAAAACGACTAATCGATAAATGGTAACCCCTCGCTTATTTTTCCACAGGCGTAACGCTAGACAAAAAATTAAACATTTGCTGTCCTGCTGACTCCATGTGGGGTTGCATTACTAATCGTTATTAAATAGACTCTACAGTCTACGTACAGTGCATCACTACTGCTTATCAAGTGTAGACGCTAGAGTCTACTGGGTTGCATTATCAAGTGTATACTGTATAGTCTAAAGGCTAGTGATACACCTGCCAGAAACATTGTGTAACTAAAAATAAAGTAAATGGAAGTAATATCATTTTAAACCACCACGCACAACATGTCAGGCAGTTATATCACTACCCTGTACACTGTAAATCCTACGATTGATAACATTGGTTTTATTTTATTTTAAATTATTACGACGTTTTCGGCAGAAGTATCACTATTTTGTAGGCCCTAGAATCCACACTTGACAATGGGTAGTGATACAACTACTTGAAGCGCTGTGTAGTCGAAAATAAAATAAGTAAAAATTAACATAACTAAATTAAGCTAGGTCAAGTAATGCCTTGAGCATGTATCTTTGTCATTTAATATGATTTTGTTGGAAATAAAGAATATTATTATGTAAAGAACATACCAAGTCCAACATGCGTCTCCCCTTCAAACATTACGGTCGCCTTGTACTGGTTGTTGTCGATCTTGCAGGATAACTCTTCTACCTCGTAAGCGGTGTTCTTCACGAGTTCGTGCAGGATCATGACCGCGTTTTTGGGTTGCAGCATCTTGCTCAGCCTCAGGTTACGCCTGCGCAGCTTTTCTTTTCTCGATATTTTAACTAAATAAAAAATTACGGGTACAATTCGCAAACCAGTCGAATCGCTTCGACAGACACAAATGACGCACACTGGGGTATTAACATTATAATTTATTATTATTTATATGGCTAAGTTATATCAAGATCCCACTCAATCAATTCTAAATTTTTATATGTAAATACGTCGTTTATGTTCTATACATATAAACTGGGTCTCCATTTTTGGAAGAGCAATCTGCAGGTATGAACTTTAATTTTTTTTTTTTCAAGAAGCGATCTTTAAGAGTAATAGTAAAACTATGGAAAACATAATGTATGACTTTCACAGAGAAGTCTAGCTCACAATTTGAATTCACCTGAAACTATTATAGTATTTTCAATTTAAAACTTTTTTAAGAGATACATGTGTATTTACAAAACAGTTTCCATCAGAGATCAAATACCTCCACTGCACTAGATTCAGTAAATACATTCACACCGTATACGGATGCAGTAATTGCATGACCAAGGTATACTTCAAATTTGCGCAGTGAATTGTCATCATGCAAAAATGATCATTACATATATCCGACTACTGACAGAGAGAGCAAGCGACGAAATGATTTTTTTTTGTGAAACTAAAACTTTCACTAATTACGAGACAAGATTATTTACTTCCACGGGCCCAGATGGGCCTCCTTTTCACTTTTCCATCTTCGCCCTCTCCACTAGTGTCCATAGCGTCCACGTCTTTGTTCTCCGGCGCCGGCGGGTTGGGCGCCGGGACCACCGGAGTCGGAGGCTTGACGGGAGTGGTAGGTTCCACTTTAATTTGCTGGAAATTCGGCTGTTGGGGAGGTTGTTGATTTCCATATGCTTGGGGCGGAACGGTTTGTTGCTGAGGCTGTGGCTGCTATGAAACAAAGCACTAAACCGTTATACCAATTAACCGATACCACAATTATAAAAATATATATAAATGAACCCCTGACAAACTCAATAATTAATTAAGGTATTTAAAATAGCAAATGTTATACCAAAGGTAAAGGCTCTTCTGATGATCATAATAACTACCCTCCCATATTATTGCTGTCCATATTGTCAAAAGTGTAAAAACAAAATTATGATCACTTGTTTTGATTTGATTGATAATGATCAATTGTTTGCTTTGAGTTGATTTGGAAGAGATAAAACTACAAATTCTGCTATAGACCTCTACATAAGTATAATTTCAGAAAGGTTTAACAAGCAACGTAATATACTTGCATCCTTTTTAGACTTTGATCAAATGACATTCCATTAAAAAAAACACCAATCTAAGTTCAATTACTTGACTCTTGTACTCTCTCATTGTAATCATTATTCATTTCAATCACCGTAGTTCACAAAAAAGCACACCTCAAAGATGGTGTACCCTGTATCAGGCCCTATTTTATTCCTATCAATCTATATTTCTTACTCTCTGGGAACAACATTAACACAGTCCTGTTTGCTGATGACACAATGTTTTATCAAAGGTACTAACTATCCTTCAGGTATAACCATAAGAAAAAAATTAATCTCGTTCAACGGTGTGCCAGTGAATAATTAAAAATCACAAATGCTCAACTATGCATTAAGAAATACCAATATCGAACAACTCTTTTTTATCTCAGTGTGCATGAAGCCCAAGTCTTTGGGCTTTATTTAGATGCAAATTATCCAGACAACCGACATCCAAGGGAACTCTTCCAACGGCTTACCATACCTACCTAAACATTATTCAATTTCAAAGTGAGCCACCCTAGCCTTGACTTATACAAGTTAAGCAAATAAAAAATGAATAAAGCAACTGGAAAAATACAATAAATATCTATGGATAAATGTTTGGCCTTACAGAACAGTTCCAAAAATTCTCTTTTAAAACCAAACTCTATCGACCAATATGTTCTGTCACAAATCATAAGGTCTGCAAATCATTGTGATTACAAACTCTGCTCATTTGTGACCACCAGTAAAAAAAGTACTATTTTCAAAGTGTTTAACATTTCAAAAAAGAAGATAAAAAGGAACGGAAAATTAATAAAAATACAACCATGCAAATCAAAAACTAACCCTTTGCTGTTGATTACGGAAATTGATTTGCGCTTGCTGCTGACCTTGCTGTTGAGATCGCTGCGGTGGCTGATTATATCCTGGTTGAGATTTTTGCTGTGGCTGCGGCTGCAGCTATACGAGCAGGTTTAAATTTGTCTGAGTTAAATTCTAAACCCCAACGGTGTGTGGCACCGATATAGGTGCATCTTTAACCGAGATATGCAGACATAAAAATGCGCCCTTTCAAACAAATTCAGTTTACCAATTTGTAGGTTGATAAAAAATAAAAATAATGACTTAACAAAAAACTTACTAAATCTTTATTTATATAACTCGGCAAAAAAATTGAGTATATCTGGAATTGGCAATCTTTTAGGTTAAAAGGGATTTTTCTGCCCAAACACACCATGCAGTTAAAGATATCAACGCACATTTACATATCTTGACCATTAATTTGCTAAATCATTAATACTAATCAAAATTTAAAGGAAATATTACAATTTCACAACAACACAGTTAAATTGAAAGCAACTTTCTTTAAATAATCGATCAGTATCTGAATGAGAGCAGTTTCGTTCAATAACGATTAGTAAAGAATAGAAACAGCTCTGATAACTACAAAAAATGCAGTCAAGATATTCAAACTGCTCGAACTAAAAGTTTATTAGCAGCACCAAATCAACAAAACATTCGTAACTTTTATACGAATATGTGAATTTTGTGCTGGTAATAATCAGTTCCGTTCGATTGCAGATCAATTAGGTGCCTATATATGTGCAACTACCATAGCTCTGCACAGCATCACCCAATGGTAGTACCTATATAATAAAAACAATATTAGTTTATTCATTGAAGAATAAATACAATTCCAATCACTACCCATAAAAATTAACATTTGATAATTTGAATTTGTATTAAAAAATCTAACAAAACCTAACAGATTTCACAGATAAATTCGATTATACACATTTTTGAAGATGTGGTTAAAATTTAAAAAAGTTTTTATGAATACGTAGATACATTGAATAATAGAAAAAACAACCACTTATTTTAAAAACAAAATAAAACATATTTCTATAAAAGAATAGTCGTTTACAATTTTTTTTTATCCGCCATATTTCTGAGACACTTCAATAAAACTAGTCGCTATAGAGATCTTACCTGGCCACCAGGTACGAAGTTATTGGTAACGACGGGTCTTCGCTGACCAATATTCCCAACATTCTGTTGATTGGGATCTGAAATATTAAAAAAATCCCAATTTGATATGAAATGGCAACGCCATGTTTTTTTGAGAATACGTCTGCATATTTTAAAATAAGAAAATGTGCCCTTACTAAATCCCGAACTTCTTCTGGTGTTGTACGACATCTCCGGCTTATATACTTTTAAACAAAGAATACTAAATTTTAACCGAAATTGTTTGCTAATTTCTTACTACCAGGACACCAAACACCACGAGACCAAACGACTCCCAACAACTCAAGGAAGCTAAACTGTCGAAGAAAATGGTGGATATACCAGTGCTACCACCACCGCTTTACCCAATTTATATCGGTCCGCCCTGATTTGCATGGGTACCAAATACAATTTAGTGAATTTTAGTGGTCCGTAGCAAAAGACTTCTTTTCAATTTACGTGACATCGGGAGTTTTATAATACGCAGGACTTGTGAAGAATTATGATCCATGATCCATAGTTTAGGGGCTATAGTTTTGGTTAGTTCAGTGTGGAGAGTGTGTAGAGAGGTGGAGTTCAGTGCTTTAAGTTCAATGGAAATGCTATTGGATGAGTAACCACTAGTGCTATGACGAAGAAGTAAACTATGTTTCTGTGGTTCTATGCAGCTGTGGTGGAGCATTGCACGCGGCGGTTTAACCTCCGTTCGCTCCCGACAGAATCCCTTGTATTCGTCCTCAAAAGTTTGATATCGGTTTCCACTGTGTGGACTTAGTGTTTTTAGTGTTCAGTGCATGTTTTAAAGTGATAATCGTCGTCGGCCCCGTCGTTTTTCCCTGTTCACGCCGGTATGGAGGCCGGATGGGCCCGGATGGTCCGCGGTGGAAGCGGGGGGAAGCCGATTTTTTTGGTATCGGTCAGAATCATTTTTTGCTAGCTGAGCAAATTATTGGTTATTTTTCTTCTTTGTACGTGGTGGTCATTGACCAGAAGCGAAAGTCCTCGACGGAAGTCGACAATGGGCGAATGATCCTAGCAGTCGGGCCCAACATTTTTTTGTGAAACGCATAATTGAATTGAATTGGATGATTCTATGCATAAAACAAATTGTTTGCCCGTGGTGTACATTTTGTTAACATTCCGTAATTCTATTTAATTGATTAATAAAAATGTAGCTGTCCCTTAATAAGTTGGTTTGATTTCGGGTGAAACATAATTTTTGCACATAATGTAAATTCGTGTTGTTCATAACGGAGTTGTTTCTGATTTATATTCTCAAAACAATGAGTGGAACTAGTAGCTCCAGGTAATATACATATATATATTATTTCCAATAGCCGAAATCGTCCACTGCCCGAATTTTTTGTACACAACGTGTTACAGATGTGACAATTGATGATTTTTTTTTTTGGATAGTGAGTAAAAATAATTCAACTTACCAGAATGCTTTGTGAGTAAATTATAACATCCGAAAAGTGAAATTATTATTGTCCATCGTTTGTTTGGCTTTTTGGAATATTTATTTTGCCCACGTCGCTTCGGCAGTTCTAATCACAATGCATTCCAGGGCATTTCGGTAAAGACACATGAAGTGTGTTAGTCTTGCTAGTGAGTTTTCTGTATGGTTCTTCCTGTTTTTCTAAATGTTGTAAGATGCTTTAAGATTTGATGTTAGGAAAGAAATAAAGCTCATGTTTATTATCAGAAGGCAGTAATGTTTTACTCTAGTCCATTGTTTCCAAGTTGTAAAGTTGTAAATCCTGTCTCTCCCATGTTTCCATTTGTAAGTAATAGTAAAAATAGGTATATGTGCTTTGTCGTTAATTAGTTTTACACACTGAAAAAAATTGGCTAAAGGTGTGGTGAGTAAATTGTTATATACATAAATATACATAACGCTTTATGAACAAAAATTTCAGGGAAAAGTTGATTTTGGAATTGCGAATAACATATACATTGCTCTCTGTAAATCGATATTTAATATTTCATTTCAATCTAGGGACGACCACACTTTTTTAAGAAAATCGACACTTTGGAAAGATAAACATGAATTGAGTAATCTAAGGGTACAGGTGAAAAGGGGTAATGTAAATGCAACAGGTCCTCAGCTTCCTTTGGAACGAAGTATAGACGATCCAGCCAAAATTTGTGCTTATGTTCATTATCGAAAAGGTAATAATTGCAATTTGGTGTTATCGCTAGAACCTCCACCCACTTCATGTGCTTTGATTTGTGAAAAGCAACCATATTTGTTCCATCAAGGCAATAAAGCATCATGTTTTGTGGGCAGAGGTTTTGCTATACTTAAAAATCACAGTTAGCCAAAACTCAGAATGTTAGGTCTTTTCTTGTTTAATGTTATCCATTTAAGGGAAAATTAAGTGAAGAATGAAGAGCACCGAGAAAGATGTAAAATAGAAAAAAGAAGACAAGAAGAACAAAGTACATCCCCAATTTTGTACAAGATTACAAGATTAAAACTTAATCAACTCAGAAGATTATAAAGAATGAAGTGAGTGAAGTGTAAGAAGAACACTGCTTAATTTCTCTTATAGCACCATTCATTAAGAGTTATTTAATTTCTTGTTTTTGCTGTCGGTGGAGAAGATATTGAAAGAAGACCATAGATTTCCAAAGAAGATGGCAAGTGGGACTGCCTCAAGAAGAATCCATTGCTTTTATTGCCTGTTCGTAGTTTTTTAATAACAAGTTGAAAAAGAAAGTTTGGTATCGAACATTGACCACTGTCTTTTTTGCTATTTTCAGATGCAAACAAAATTCCGAAACTTCCCATTTTTGGGCCGGGCATTAAGGTTAACCAAAAATTTGAGGAAAACCGCCAAGTTTTCACTCGATCAGACGTTGCTAGGCAATCGCGTAGTCGTAGTCGTTCGAGATCTGCGAGCCCCAAATTCAAACGCAATAAAAGTCGTAAAGCAAAAAGCAGAAGCGGTAGTAGATCCAGAACGAAACAAAGAATTAGTAAGAGCAGAAGTAGAAGTCTGAGTCACGAAAGTTACTGCCCTCTGAGTCACGAAAGTGACTGCCCTATGTACGAATCTCTCAGTAAAGAGGGTCCGTCGAGAGAGTATAGCAAATATAGAAAGTCCAAGTCTCCTACTCCTCTGAGGCCGGGAGAATATCGTCCCGGGCATCCAGATTTAGCTAAACGTTATAATAAAAAAAGGTCGCCCTCTCCCAGTCACAAGGACTACGAAAGGAACAGGTAATTTCCTAAGTTTTTTATGTATTTCAAAATGAACAGGTAACTTTATATGTTTTTATTTACTTAGAAAGAAACAGGTAACTTTTATGTATTTAACACGCCCTTCTAGATATCAAAAGAGTGTTTCCCCAAGCAGGCCCGGACCGTCCTCTAGAAGATCTCATTCGCCGGGATCCTCAAATAGATATTCCTCTCCTCGTAAGAAAACCTCCAGATCATTGAATATCGGCAGTAATTTATGCGAAAATTGTTTCAGGTAGATCCGGTGGTACTTTAAAAAATTCAAAAAGGAGCCCCAGTCCCAGAAGACGGAGCCGTTCGCCAGTAAAATATAACAAACGGGAGAGATCCAGATCCAGGTCTTCCAGATACCGAAGCAGGTCGCATTCAAGATACAACAAAAAGAGAAGTAGATCTCCATACCGAAATAGAGATAGGAAGTACTATAATCGTAGTAGGAGCCCGAGACGAAAAAGTCGGTCTCCGGGCCTCAGGGACCATGGAGTCGCTGAATATGGCTACTATGACGTATGTAAGTAAATTAAAGTCTTAAGTTTCATTAGAATTGGTATTTTCAGGGTGAATATTGGATGCCCGGTCCAGTTAGACCTGGATTTCCCGTACCGGCTTTTTATCATCCGGGGTTTTATCCAAGAGGGGTCATTCCGGGTCCCATGCTGATGCCTAGGGTTCCGATTAGACCTCCGTTCGCCCCGTACCCGCATCAACGATATCAAATGCCCGTTTACAACAGGACGAGGGGTAACAGGCCTATGACATCGACGGCTACTATCACCAGTGATAGTAAGCAGCCGACATCTGAAGTTTCTAGTGAAACTGTTATTCAGGAGATCACTGAAAATCCCGCAAGGAGTCCAGACAGTGCTCAAACGATTAAAGTTCCGGACAGCAACTCGAAAGAAGAGAACGTAAAATAAGAACTTTACCAGTTGTACTAAATATTCAAAAATAAAAAAAATAAGTAGTTTCTGGTGTTAAGTGTTTTCACGAGTTCAGTTTAGAAATTGCTAAATAATAATTGTTTACCGAAATTTAAATACTGTAACGGTTAAAAAGTAAAGTAAAGGGACGCTTGCACTGCGTCGATTTTCCTGAATGATGTAGTCCTTTGATAACGATGGATGCGCCGCACTTTATTGGACTTTATTAAAATGTGTAACACAGCATTTGTGTGAAGTCGACGGTCTAGTAGGAAGACGGCTCGCCTGAGAATTAAACTTAAACGGTTAAAAAGAACAAAATTGAGCCACCGGTTTGAAATGAATTTTGAGACGTAAATAACACACTTTCTATCGAATAAACCGGATCGAAATTTCGCGTTGATCGACACCAAATCCCGGTGACGTTTGAATGGCAACGCTTATCGAAACTGTCACTGCGAACAAGTGGCCGAATTTTTGTACACGATTATTACATTTTTTAAATTAGTTTTGGTTGCCCTTCGGCAGCCGGTAACGTCAACTACTATCGGGGAGGGCCTTGAAAGGCGCCGAAAATTGATCGGGGAAGTAAACGGGACCAACTTTCGCAGAATACAAAACAATAGTGACCCTCGACGAGTTTTTTCTTGTGAAATTTTAAAGATTTTTTTACTTCCTGCAACCAGTTGGATCTCGCACCCGACGTGACCTGCGCGACGCCTACCGTATACCCTGTCCTGCGACCATACACTACTATAAAAATTAATACACCGGCTCTATTTTCATAGAGCACGGGCTACTTGCGCATGCCTCTACACTTCATTCACTAACCTGCACTTTGCGCCATTTTCTTTCTAAACACAGAATATCCATACACTTAACTTTTTTTACCTAAAGATTTATTGAGATCTGAACCTATTTTTAGAAAATAATGTCGTATAAATACCGTCACCAAACTTTTTGACGATCTGTCACCAGCCATGTTGGTTGTTGAATGCCGCAAGATCATTGGTTAAAAACAATATTTTAAATCTCGCGGATTCGTATGTTGAATGGATCGTGTCAATATTTTTTCCATAATTGCTTCGTGATTTCCTGTATTATCGGAATAGGTAGGATAGCTATATTGCTGCGACGATAGATTCATTTTATAATGCGGCGACAGTTTCGGTTACGAAGCGGTAACGTTTGGGACCGCGTCGATTGCCAGATAAATATTTTTCTTCATGATTGAGACTTGAAACTATCATCGATGGGCGGTACGGCGACGGAAACGCATAAGAATATGCGGAGCCGACGGAAGAGAAAAAGAGCTGTTTTTATTCGGGGTCTGATTAGACTCATAAAGTATCGCCCTGATGAGCGAAACCAATTCTACGGGACCGAAAAATGAGGTTCTTAACGCGCGCGGCCTGCTATTACAATTCTTTCGCGTTTTGCCCGCCAAAGAGACGGGAGAGTGGGCGGCGGCGACGACGACGACTAGTGGGGTCCCGGGCACGCGGCGGCCACTCTCTCTTAAATCTCGATCGACGCATTTCAGTCACAGTTTCGCCCGCGTACAACGATGACACGACGTCAGCGGTTTCTTCTTCCGAGTTGAATTTGGGCTCTCGCTAGCGCGGACTGTTTTTTTTTTCTAGCACTCACTCCTTTCTTCGCCCGTCGGTCGTCGTCGGTTTGCCTTTTTTTTCCTAACCCGTTTGCAGTGCAGGTGAGTTTTTCCGGCGTATAACACGATTTAATACAAGCTAATATTCTCAATGCCGTCGCCGTTTGTTTGTTTTGCGTAACGCGCGACGCGGCGATGGAATTTTAAAATTTATACGCGCATTTGACGGAGGGCTTTGCGTCTCGCGCGTTGCAATCCGCACTAGACGACGTATGAAAGTGAAAGTACAGAATCATTCATCTTTTTCTGACCTGCCGCGATATGAAGAATAAAGAAGAATGAAAATATCGAAAAAAAAAAGTCGCTCCCTTGCGAACGAGCCATATCGATATTTACGGATGTGCGCCGATTATGGCAATCAAATATACGACGCTCCGATCGAAAGCGCACATCGCGACAAATATTATGCACGTTCGATCTGTTTCCGGCGGATGACGGTCGATTTGAGTGCCGAGGCGTCGATCACGACCCACTGTTTTGTATCGCAGCGGCAAAGATATCGCGACGATCGGTTTTGAAAATTGATCGAACGGAACTCGCGATCTTGACGTGCGGGCGGACGCGTCGAACTGCCTGAACACACGCACTGTGCCATGCATTTTTAACTGAAAATTGTAGTACACGTAGAAATTGCATCGTGTAAATCTAGATCTAGGTGATTGGCGAAACATCAGCAAGTTTGATGCAGATGATTTGCATTACATTAAATTTGCTTTTGTTTTACATTTTAAATGTTTTTTTGAATATAGAAATGCAACAATTTTTCTGCGGAAATATTTATATAGGTGTGTATGTTTTAAGATCTTTGTGAATTATAATTATAATATTATAAAAACTCAAATGAAAATATTTCGGTATGCGTAATGAATTCTAATTTTTCTTATATATATATATATATATATATATATATATATATATATATATATATATATATATATATATATATATATATATATATATATATTTCGTACAAAGAAAACATATTACACACAGGTACACCTTCCTGTACTAAACATATTATTTTATTATTGGCATTGAAATTTTTGTCAAAAACTTTCTGATCGTATGCATTTTGTGTACCTGTGCTTTGTTTTTTTAACTTTTTTTTTCTTGATTATGGGCTCGCGTGTGTGTTTTTTTACGGCCGCCGAAGCACCTTCCTACTTTTTCGTTAAAATCGGACAAACACAAGGCTTCCGGTGGGAATCGAACTTTTTTTTTTAACTTATCGAAGTGTTTTTGTTCGGCTCCATACATTTGGTTAGGCTGACTTCTCTAGGTTTTATTTTTGCTTCGTTTTGTAAATATAAACAATCTTAAATTTCGCAGATTTTTTTTTCATACTAGGCAAGGTTTTCCATATTCTGTTTAGTTTTGCAGTTGTTTATCTCTAGAATTAAGGCAAGTAAATTACATTAATTTTGTTTTGTCGTATATTAAATAAATATTTATAGGGTTTCTTTTGGTTAGTTAGTTAGTTTCAGTTTTATGTAACTGATTCGGTTATTCTAAAGTTCGGCAAATTAAAATTTTATTTTTTATACGTTTGAAAAGGCTTCTAAAAGGCAAAATTGTATTTTTTTATACAGTGTGTCCCACTTAAGAACTGCACACCCTTGTGAAATCTTTGTTTATGGATCGTTATTGATTTTTTTTTGTTGGATAGACCTGTGAAAAATGCACTAGAACCTTGTTTTGCTTATTCCTTCAACTTAAAGTCATAACCCACAGAGAAGAGGGAAATACTATTAGGGATTAAAAAAAAATAGGCAACGAATTCTTATTCAGTAATATATAGAATCCAACTATACCAATTTCTGTAATGTTTCAATACAGGGTATTTGAAATATCGTTTACGCGCCGTTATAAAATCTTTGATTACGTTTTTTGCTTTGATAACTAAAACCTTATGTTTCTGTTTACATATATCTAGAAAGGCTATTAGGGATTTCTTGAAGAAAGTGAAAAAGTGTCAACGAATTCATATTCAGGACTACATAAAACCTAACTATACTAATTGCAATAAAGTTCGCTTAAGCATTACTCTTGTAGAATGTTTGTTTATGGCTCAAATTTGGTAATTTTTCTCTTTCATTTCGCTTTAAAGAATATTCCTTATCCCGCGCAGGCCTACCCGGCGATGACAGCGACGCCGACACCGCATTAACGTGACAACATGGCCTTGCACAACTTCACGTCGCCGTTTCTGGCGACGCCCGGACCCCTGAACCCCTTCTTTCATCACCACCAGCAACCGCCGGTGCCGACGGTGCCGCCCTACTCGTATCCCAGGCCACAGAAGCCGTTTCTAGCGGAAGAATTTCCCGGCGACCGAGGTCGCAGACCGCCCCCGGCACACGACCATCGGGGTGGTGACTATCGGACGTCCCACGTACCCGGTTACACCCGAGTCGACGACGACGACGGTACCAATACCAGAGTGCACGCGGTCATCGATTACGACTACGACGACGGCGACGACGAGGCTCCCGGCGTCCCAGCGACTCCCATCCAGGGACCGATCTATGTGAAAAACGGTTCGGTACCTGTCGTGCCTCTTTACTCCCATCCGGTCATCAACAACGGTACCTTTGTCCAGATTCCGGTGAGTAATAATTTTTGTTGCTTTTCTTCTGACGTCGCGCTGAATCTTGGTTAGAATAATTTCATGAAATGTTTCGGCAAAGTTAACCAGTTTGACAAGTATTGCGCATTTTACGATGCGTAATAATGTAGGCGAGATATTTAAGTGAAATGATCAGTGTCGAGTGCTGTTGTCTTTCATTACGACTCGCGATTTCCAAGCTACGCGTTTGGCGGCGGTTTTACGAAACGATACTTTTAAATTAGTGGCGTTTTTTCGGTTCTTCAAATAGCCAATTAAAAGAGTTGTGTGTGTGTTTGTGGACGTTCCTGGCCAATGGTATTTGAGGATGTATAAATTTTACTCCAATATTTACGACCTGTGCCTCTATATCGAACTTATCTAGCTCCGGCGTACCTTAATTTCATGTCAAACACATTTTTTGTCCCAAAAAGTTGAAAACTCGATTTGTCTTTATTAGTGATTCCTAAATGATTGATTAATCCGGGTACTATTTTTTAAGCCACTTTAAAAAAAAATGCTCATGGTCATTTCAAAAACTCATAGGTCTTGCGACCTAGAAGGCTGGTATATAAGAGTACACTTACGACGACACAGATGTAGAACTTCTAAGGAAACATTTTCTAAAGCATACATTTTCACAAATACCACTCAACTTTCAAAAAAATAACAAAACGCGCATTGCTTCCGGCTGACAGCGGCGTTGTTGCCAACAGTTTCGAGTGCAATAAATATAAAAAGGTATACGTCAGAACAGCCAACCAAAAATAATATGTTATGCAACAAGTATGATAAACGGCATTTTAGACACGCGTTTATTTGGCACGTGAGGGGCGAGTGTTTCTTAAACGAATGACTTAAAAAGTTTATCAAACGTGTTGCATACTATATTTTTTCTACGACCGTAAGAGTTGGCAAACGTCAAAATACCAGCCGTGCGATAAAAACTCCGAAAACATCCGATAGCCCCCAAATCCGTGCGGTAATATCCCGGAAATGTCCGAAGTGCATCGGATCCGTGGGACATGAAGCTTGCGTGGTAAAGTTACGCTTCCCGCGCGCTATATCGGTGTGTAATGAGGTATTTTACAGCAGGGAGGAGAAAAACTTAATTGAAAATCTTCCAGCTTTATACCTAGAAAGTACATATCTTTAATATATTTATAAGATAATAAGCAAGGCGTTTTTACCCGCGTGAGCCCAAATTTTTTAAAGTGGTAATAAAGGTATTGTTATTGGAAAACTCCACGGTACGGTAAAAGAAGTAGTATTATGTCTTTGTTATTAAAAAACACCTAATATTGTTAACAAGTGACCTAATGTGGGCAGCTCTAATATCTCAAAAAGTAAGTAAAATTTAAAAACAAGATAATTTTCAAACTTACCTAGAATTGATATCTGAATAAAAATATAATGTGTTCCATTTGAAAATCTTGAGATTTTGTTAATTGAAATCGCCAAAACGGCACCACCTATTTCGGATATCCTGTATAAGCTGAGGCGCATCTGTCAAACTGATTGAGTAATGCATCATCTCCTTAGTTTGTGGGTAAATTTTCGTTGCAATACCTATATCAGTAGCGTCACATCACAATTTTATATGGGGCAATCAAAATATGAAAAAAAAACACATAACCTCAATTTCTGAAATGTATTTCAGCCAATGATTCAAAAAATGCCAAATAACAAAGTTGATGTCGGGGCAGACACTTTTGGAACACCCTGTATCAACTTGTACGAAAATTTTTTTCGTATCTCCTATGCGTTTCCAGATCGCATAGTGGATCGTTTTATTTGGCACACGGTGTACGTCGGGCAAGGAAATTGAAGGTGGTAACTTGTTTCAAGTTGAATAGTGTTACATATGGAGCAGATCCGATCAGTTTTAATGAAGTAAGCGCGACCTTTATAGGAGAATTTTAGAACATGTTATGTAAATGTTGAGATCTATTTCAAAAAGTTTTGTTTTAAAACATTCTAAGACGTCATTCTTTTGCATCCTCAGAGTTTGGTAAATTAAGGGTGTGGAACCTGTTTCAACGCGAAGCAAAGCACTTGAAGATGATTTAGGAAAAAATATCTTTCGAAAATAAATACATATAAATTTCATTGTATTTTAAAAATTATTTCGGTCAATTGACTGGTCACACTGGACACAAACAAAATTGACCTGTCAATTCCACAACCTGATTGTTAATATTTAAAATTTACATGCGTGTTCTTTGTCCCCTCAAAACTACGATAATAAAAGTAAATAATTGCTCACCAATTAATCGTCGTCTCGAAACTAATTTAAATGTTTAATAATTATACGTTCTTGGATTTTATGAATGATCGTAGTCACAACACCTGACCCTATTTGTACGGGATCGCGTCGATTGTCACGTTTCAGTGGCGTATCGATAATTATATTTTTCTATGGTGACGTCATAAGACAGTAAACAAAGGGCAAATTTGGCGTAGTTGAAAATCGAGCGTCGAAAATGATAACGTTTCGCGTAATATCGATGACGACGTTCAGGTCCTGTCTCACGGGAGAGAATATATGTGTGGCCGCATTTTTTTCCCATTTTTTTGAAAGCGAATTCGCGCTCTCCAGTATCGGAATCGATTTTCCTTTCACCATCAACGATTGGTGGCAGGGGGACAAGGGGACGCCCGGCCTTCGACTGCTTGGCATTTCGCGCCGTGTTTCCTTTGTCTTTGCTAAACGGTAACAATTCCTATTTTGTAATTTATTGCCGCCGCCCGTCGAAAAGTTTCCGCCGCGCGTAAAGGGGTGGGGGCGCCGCCATCTATTTTTTAAAGGAAATTGCCCCTCCCTCTTCCTGTCGAACAAACTGAAAAACAGAAAACAACTTTTTTAAAATTTGAAGCGCTCTATATTTTATTTCAAACACAAAATTTTACGATTTAAAAAAAGAAACGAAATTAATGCGAAAATTAATAAATCTCGCAAATAACACTCGTTGCTGGGACGTATATTGACTTCTAACGCGTTGACAACAAAAATGTAGCCGTTTAATTTTGTTTTACGGATTGTTTTTCTAAAAAATTATAGAATTTTTTCTTTGAAATTATTAAGTTACTTGGAATCCGAATCTGTACCAAATTCCACCGCTGCGGTTCCTTATGAGTAGATCCGGCAATGCCGCACTTTTATATAAATGGTGTTTAATCAATCAGCGTTACCAGGTTTATTTAAAAATCATAATTTTTATAATACTTGATGATCGCTGGAATGTCTGCGTAACTTCTAAACCATTAAGGTGACAAAGTTGGTTAAATGAGATAAAGGTATTATATTTACATGCATAATCCCTGAACCAAAGTTAAATTAGGAGGGATGGACTGAGAAATATTTTAGGAAAGCCAAATTTCCGTGTTTTAATATTTCCTTCCACTTTTGAACACCAATAACTAACAATAAATAATGCATGTCGCTTTTAGAGAAAGGTTTTTCAAACAGGAAGTCGCATTTTAATGCGTTTGAATAGTTTTTTTTACACTAAAACGAGTAACAATAGACATGAATTACTGGTTGTAAATTGGTTACTACAATATATTATTACAGTTGTACAATATTTCACTTTCAAAGCGTAAGCATGAGTTGCAATATTACAACGTCCATTTGACCTAGAGACCTAGGTTTAAATAACTTGTATATGTCAAACCCAAAACTGATTAATTAATCAAATTATCATTACAATTCAATCTCAATTAAAATTCACAAATTAAAACAACAAATTAAAATAAAAAAACCTTATCAACTAATCAAACGTTTCCCAAAATATATTTTTTGCTTCTCTAGAAATAGTATATTATGCTGTAAACGGCATTTGACTTACGAGTTTAATAAACGAGTGAGTTAAAAAGTTTACCGAACGTTTTGCATACTATACTTTTTCTACGAGCGTTATTTTTTGGGAACATTTTCTCAAAACAACAGGAATACATTCACTGACATGACACAAACGTCAAAATTCAAAGCATGGTAAATATCTCCGAAAACATCCGATTGCTTCCAAACCCGTGCGGTAAAATCCCGGAAATGTCCGAAATGGCTCGGATTCGTGGGAAACGACACTGACGTGGTAAAGTGACGCTTCCCGCACGCCAGATCGGTGCGTGATTAGGTATTTTACAGACGGGAGTAGAAAAATATCTTAATTGCTTTAATTTTTCTTATATACATATGAATCAGATTATAGAATTTATATTTTACTTATATTATACAAGTGTAACAACAAATGTATACTACGTTCTGTTTAAAATGTCAATGTTGTTGGTAGCAGTTAGAACACCCTGTAGATAAAACAAGTGAACCTGGCCAAAAAGAATTTCAAAGAATTTGGTTTTTCTAAAATATTTGTTAATTCACCTCTGTCCCATTTAACCGATCGTGTAGCTTTAACGGTTTAATCGTTTAATCGTATTAAAAAAGTGGCCACCTTTTATTCTAATTATTCGTCGTGAATATAGTGGCGAATGCTCAATGAATTGGAGAAATTTGTGCATTTGTTTAGTCAAATATAACTTACCTTACTAATTATGGCTAAGTTGATATTAATATTTGAATCGAAAACTTAAATAAAAATTATTAAATTAAATTAAATCACATGTTGTTAAATTTATCACCCACTTAATTTTATTTGCAGTTAATTTATCACTTCCAGAATGTCATACTCAACACTAAACAACCAGCAATCAACAAGCCTCTTAATTTCTGTATATTCCCTATTTTGCAAATACATTGGAGGGGCGTTATATATTCTAGGGGCTGCAAATAGAATGCTCCTCTACACTGAAGTAAAATGTACCATCGGTACTGGCATGGCCTGCTTTGATACAAATCTGGTTTTTACTGAATGGTTGATTGTTTATTTACGAATTCTGTTGAGATAATAGTCTGATGACAGATATACCATAAGATAAAATTGATTCTACTAAAGATTTATATATTTATATAAGGGAACTTTTTGACAAACTTTGTCGTAATA